GCTCTAAAAGGAGATTGGATTGATTTGCTATTCAATCTATTAAGAACTGTGAGATGGAAGTAAATCCAGATTTCTTGGAGTTCTGGTAATGCATCATTCCTCTCAGTCTCACAGCTCCAAATCAGCTTCTTGATGGAATGAGGCAGGGAGAGAGAGCCTGACAGGATCTGGGATGGTTAAAGCCATGGAGGCACCTGGGGAACAGTGTGTGGATTCTGCAGGAGGATTTAGCTGATGGTCTGAACTGGGCAGTGTCTGGATCCACAAAGAAGAATCAGAGTAATTGATAGCTCAGGCTAATCTGGAGAGTGAAATACTTGTGAACCAAATTGCACTCATTCTTCTGGGAGCTGTGAAGTGAGAGAGATGGGGTGTGTGAGGGAATCAGAACCTCTGCTTGGAGCAGTTCAGGGCTGCTCATGGAGGCACAGCAGCTGAAAGGAGCAGCCTGTGGGTGGCTCTCTAAAGGGAGCAGCAGTACAAAGTCAGGACATGCTGAAAGCATGGAAGAGAGTAGCAAAGTCACCCTCTGTGAGGGAAAAGGCCAGCTTCCAAGCTACCCGGGAAGTGTTCTTTTTCTGCTGCTTGCTTTGTTGTAAATACACAAAAGTAATGTATTGTCATTTACTTGTGGTTCCTTCCAGTAAGAAAACCTCACTGTGTGAAGCCATCATGTGGTTTCAGCAGTCCTCTGGCAAAAGGCACACTATGTACAGCTGAGAGCATCTCAGCTAAATTATATATCCAGATCAAACTGCAATGAAGAGAGAATCAATTGTAAAGATTTAGGGAAAAGCAGGGGGGGTTAGGACAACTGCAGTGTGCTGAGTGTTGGTGCATTAAAGAAAAAACTTACTTGGACAGGGATACATAAAACAGATTTTATATGTATTTTCAGCAGCTGTGAATTAATCTGGCTGGCATAATTAATTCTCAGGTGGTCGTTGTTGTTATGAACTTGGAACTGTAAATGAAAGAGCTGAAAGCAGCTTTTAAATGAGCCATTTCTTCCTGCAGCCATGGACATATTTCTTACTGTACAGAGCATGGCTTTGCTGCTGCTCTGATTTTTACCCTTGAGTCAGTTACCTTCCAGTCTGCTTCCTCATGGTGATTGTTAATAGAATGGCTCTTTGATTACAGAAAATTGGTTGATACACTTCTCTAATGAAAATGCTAGACAAATGCTCCTTCTTGGAACTGACATCAGGAAAGTTATACAAGACATGCTTAAATATGCTGGCAGCTGCCCTGAATGTAATGAAATCATGGAAATTAGAAGTATTGCTCTCTCTGTGTGGCCAGCTCAGGACTGTTTTCAGTGTGTTACCCAGTTTTGCTGTGAATTTTAAAAGGAATCACTTTTCATTAAGTTTCCCTGGGACATTCCTTATGAACTTGCTTATAATTTCTACAATCAGAAGAATGACCCTGATATCCTAAGGTATTGCTCCTTTGTTTTGGATTGCACACAGTTCCTCGTGCCTGCATCCCCAGTACCACACTAAATCATTCCCCCTGCAGCAGAGAGTTTCCAATCTTCAGAAGATCAATAACTTTTCTGGTAGAAACGATGAAATCCTATTCCCACTGCAGCCAGCAGTAAAATTCCCACAAACTTAAGAGGTTTGGATTTCACAGGCAGTTTTTAGTGTGCTCTTGTAAGATACATTAGTTAATCCTTAACACACTCTTAGTACAGGAGGTGTCTAAATGCAGGGAAGTTGCAGGGGAGCAGTGGTGTACCTTGGGTTTCAGTAGCAGCTCTTTATGCAGGGATCACAGAGCAGCTTCTGAAAGACAGGTGAGACCACAGCAGAGTGCAGAGGATGGATATTTTTAATCTCCTAAAGTGCAGGGAGCAGAAGGGAAGGATGGCTGTGGCTGTGTGGAAGGTTACATGGAAGCACCACCCTGGCTCCCACATTGGCTTCTCTTCATCTGTGGTTTTTTCACCTGTTGCTTCCTTGTAGCCTTGCTGTGTTTTCATCACATACCCTGATTTAGAGTTTTCCCAGATGAATTCATTTCCTTTGGTTGTTTTTTAGCATTCTAGCTTCTTCCTTAGCTTCTTTGTTGGAGGTTTACAGAACTCCCTAAAGTGATTGCATTTGCATTCCTTTGAAGTAGTAAGATTCCTTTCCTGTCAACAATTAATAGCAGTATTAAGCAAGAGTCAACTGACTAAAAACTTAGTCCAGATTCATGTGCTGTCACTTAACACTTGGTGTTGGAATTAGTGAGTTCTGGCTTGGGATGAGGAGCTGAAAGGGCTGGGGCTGCCTTGGCTGCTGGGAAAGGAGGAATGGAAACCTGTTTGAACCTTCTTCCTTCTCCTTTCCTGCAGTGGTCAGAAAGCTGGGAGGGTTTGCTCCTGTGTTTGATTTGGGTTTATTCATTGAGCAGATTTTGAGTGCTGTAAGAAACAGTGGCAGGGGCTTGGGCTGAAGGATGATTTGGGCTGGATGAAGGTGGAGTCACTGTGAGGCTCAGAGAGACAAGAGCTGTTGTGAAAGAATGGCCTGGAGGTGGAAAAGGGCATCTCTGTCACTTGTGATGCCCAGCCTTACCAGGCAACCTCACTTCTGGCTGCTGCTGCTGGCACAGAGCAGAGGCTGCTGAGCAAAGAAAGCTTTTTAATGCTTGGAAGTGTCCTGGAGGGCACAGAAATCTGCTGGAAGCAGATTTCCATCTGCATGATGCGATGCAAACAAGATGGTTTCTGGCATGAAAAGCCTCCAGTTGAGACATCAAATCATTAGAAATACTATGGCCAGAAGCTTTCATAATAAATTACTGTAAAGTCATGAAAGATTGATCTTTTTTGATTTCAGAGAAAATAAATCAACAGTATGAAGTCAGCTCTGTTACAGTTTCAAACAAGAGACTCTTACCCTTTGCCTTAAAGATCAGAGACAAATTACTATTTTTACTTTACATTCTCTTGATGAGGATAATGATAAACATCTGTCACTTTGCTGCTTAGCCAGTTAGGAATCTTACTGCAATCTGTAATTTAAAGAGTGAAAAAAAAATAAAAGGAAAAAAAATACTTGAATAAACTGCACTTTATATAGACAACAAAGAAGAAAGAGAATAGATGTGAAATACAGGGGAACTGGGGAGGGGGCATTTTTGGTCTGCAGTTACTTGGCTAAAATCTGTAGATATATAATAGATGTATGATTTTTTATTGAATTGGTATTTCACAAGGAAAATTACCATTATTTTTTTTTTTCTTTAGACATGGAGGCTAAGGAAAATAATCTTTGCACTGTGATTTTTGGCTATATGCAGGTTATTAACAAAAAGATTAAGGTTTATAAGGTAGTGCCTACCAGTGCTACAGCATTGAAAACCCTGTTTTCATCAAGAGCTCATTCAGCATCCTCCACACTCACAAGATTTTTAGGAAATACTTCTAATTATTTTTAAAGAGCAGCTGCTTTTCCAGTAATTCACCTGTACTTTTGCAAGCTCTTTTACAAACACTCTGTTTTGTTTCCACATGGTACATGGGGTTTTATTTCTTAACAAAACTCAAACACATCACAAGCACACCATTTCATTTAGACTGGACTGCCCAAGCTGTATAAAAGGTTACAAGTGGTTTATCTGCCAGTGCTGTGTGAGCAGAAGCAATCCCTGCACTAGGACATGAAACCAAGAATCCCTTCTTGGCCCAGTTTCCTGCATGGAGAAGCCTCTTTGGTGACATGTTTGCATATTTAGCACTAATGGCCTTTCACTGGTGGGTTTGATACCGATCTCAGCTGCTCCAGAAATCTTTAAAGCACCAGGCACGTGCCAGTTTTAGCAAAAAGCTCTGTTGTAAATGGAGCTGTGCTGGCAGGGCTGATACAGAACTCGTTCTTCTCATGGGCTTCTTCAGTTTTTGCAGTGCTTTCTGTTTCTTTGTGTTCTTCACGTGCAAGGCCAGGCTGGATGAGCAGCCTGGGGAGGTGGGAGGTGTCCCTGCCTGGAAGGAGATGAGCTGCAAGGCCACTTGCAACCCAAAGCACTCTGTGATCCTAGGATTTTATGCTTCTAAATACCCATAGAACAGTTTTATATTTTTATAGTTTGTGCTAATAATGATCTGGGGATTGTTTTCAGGATGAAGTATTACATCACAGTTTGGGGAACATTGTTCTGGGTAGAAATTCCATTCTTTTGGCATCTTAGAGCCTCAGACAGCAGTTTGATTTTCACCAAAAAGGCTACTACTTTTTTTTTTTAAGGTTTTCCTATATTTATACAGGCCAGACTGAAGCAAAGTATAGGCCTTTTAGCTTCCAGTTAAAGTTCCTGGTATTTAATTAGGTCAGCTGTTTACATACAAATAAGGTTTATTTCTGTCCAATGAAAAAGAGACCTCAAATATATAATCCAGCCTTGAGCATTGGAAGCAATGATGCTTTTGCTGTTATCTTTTATAAACTCTTTGTTTATATAGGTGCTATTCACATCTAACAAGTCTGAGACTGAGCTCAGATTTTTTGTGACAAAATTCGTCACAAATGGGTCAGCCTTAAATAAGAGGGGTGGGTTTAACCCACAGAAGGGTAAAACTCAAAATCCAGACTTGTGGTGCTGCTTTCTTGCATGGGTCCAGCTGGCTGGATGTGAATGGTAAAAGATTTGATAATAAGTATTGCAGTAAGTGATCTGAGAGAATTTCTTGATGTGACATTTACCACTGTGAGTCTTTACTCTTTATTGTCTTTACTAAACTTTGTTTAATATAAAGTTAGAAATTTGTGTGGAAATACATACATGTACTTTGTGCAAAAAGTCTCATTTGGCATTAAAGATAAGTTCATGGTGCTGAATACTAATTTTAAATAGGCCAAGACTTCATATTTTAACCTGTGGATAGTCTTTGTATACAGAGTTATGTTGCTGGATTGCTACAGTTTAAGTCCAGGAGTTTTTCCCCCAATATATTTCAAGTTTACTGAAATTTGAAAGAATTTTTTTATTTTTTTTCTGCTTTGTAGACTGAAACTGAAGAGAATGGCCAAGCAGATAATTTTTCAATGGATCCCCAGCTGGAAAGACAGGTGGAGACAATTCGAAATCTTGTGGACTCCTACATGTCTATTATTAACAAATGTATCCGAGATTTGATACCGAAAACAATCATGCACCTCATGATCAATAATGTAAGTAGAATCCATGGTTCTAAATTAGTTCAACATGTCTGTCAAATCTCTCACTCTCAAACACACCTCTGGAATAGAGCAGCAACAGCAGGTACTAGAGAGAAGAATAAATGTCACATTTGTAGACAAAATATTTCAGTATTCCATAGTACTTGGAAGTTCTGCAGCCTTTTCAAAGGCTGGCACACTGCCTTGAGTGCTTATCCCAAAATCCTAAAAACTGAATTAATTTAATTTTAATCAGAACATAAGTTATTATTTAAAGGTAACTCGAGGTGGGGGTGGTTTTGATATAACAAGAAAAGGAATTGGGAGCTCTGTGTGGGCAGCCTGTGAGAGCAGCAGAGCAGAGTTGTGCTTCCCTTGATTTTCAATCTTCAGCCTTTGTCACGGGTTCATAAAGCAGTTCTTCTTTTGTTTAGGTTTCTTTATATTTTCAGGTTACCATTTTCAAGGAATAAATCTGGAAGCTTTGGACACCGTTGTTTAGATAAGCAGATGTGGTTGGTTGATTTATTGTGTGTGTCTTTCTTAGATCTGAAGATTATTTGGTTAACAAAACAGCTTTGAGATACCATTGTTTTTCCACTGCAGTGGGATCTTGGCAGAGTTCTGAATGGACCTTGTTGAAAACTAAGCTTAATATTAGTGCCCCTGCTGCCATATAAATTACTAGTGGGAAGCACAGCCCCTGCTAGTTCTGAGCAGGTCATCAAACCACTCGGCCTTTACAAGTGCAATATGCTATGAGGCAAATGTGATTAGAAGGTAGCATTTACTTTTGACTCAGAGCCACCTCTAGCCTTCATCTGATGGATTTCATTAGCCCTGTGGAATTTGTGTTGCACTTAAGAGTTAGGTGGTTGGACAGGAAATTTCAGTGGGATTTCTTGGCGTATTTAATATGAGCAGAATTTTTGCACGAGGGCAAGAGATTTTTCATTAACTTCTTCAGGTTTAGGGGAGTCAGGATCTAGGTAATGCTCCAGTTATGGGTGAAGTTCTAAAAAAAACCATGGGAACAATGGAGCTGCCTTTTTTTCTGGAAATCAGCCATGCTGTAGATTTCATAAGTTGAGTGTGTGTCCTCACTGCTCTTTTCAGATCACTGCTAGCAGCTTGCTGCTTTGACTTAGCCTATCTCCAGTGCCCTTGGAAAAGGCTGGGGTTTAGCTTTCATTTCATAAACAGCAGAGCTCAGTGAGCAGTTGCTTTTGAAAGCTTACATTAAATTTTCTGCCACTCACCTCCTCATCTGGAATCATTTAGGGGTCTCTGAAGTGTGTGCGTCCCTCAGAAGTAGATTACTGGAAGATTTTGTGCTTTCAGTCTCATCAGCTGTTGGTGACATTGATAAAGCCTGCCAGGCTGGCACACAGAAACCACACACTAAAACATCAGCTACATTTCAGCTGACCTCATGGTCCCAAGCTGCATTTGGGCTTCCTGGTGAGCTGAGGCCTACACCTCCATCCTAGAGTTTAAACCTGTGGCAAAGAAAATATTTGAAAGAGCTGTGAAGAGTGACACTACAAGCATTAATGAATTTGTTTCTGTACAGCATAGGCAGTAAAATACCATATTGAATACAATAAAAATAGCAATTTTTAAAAATCAAGGTTATTGAAAAGAGAAAGAAATGGTTGAATTAAGAGTGTTGAGCCCTGCCAAAAGGTTATGCAAAGGTCTGGAAAGGAGCGGAGCTGTGATGGAAGGTGGGTCCTGTTAAGTTCCTTGGAGTATTCAGAAGTCCAACCCATCCACCAGGAGTTAAGTGAAAACACCCTCCCTCCCACTTAATGAACATACTCTGTATTTTCTGCTGCCCCATCATGTTGCCTCCAAACCTCTGGAAACAAATCGATCCCAAGGAATTTGTTTCCATGACAATTGCAACCTCCCAAGTTTTCCTAGAACTTCCTTTCCACTTTGTGGGCCCATAAACAAGTAGTTATAATTCAAGGAAAGTATCAGATTCAAACTCAATGTACAGAAAATAATTAGATGCTGTCCCTGAGCATATTTTGGGGCCTAAGCCTACATTATTGTATTCCAAGTGCATCCCTTGTTCTTCCCCTAGGCTGGATGTTAATTACATTAAAGGAAAATACATCTACCACACAGAATTGCATTGAGTTACCATTACCAATTCAAACATGCCCAAACTAAACACACGTACACAAATTTGTAGCTCATGATGCCTTGGTATCCTGGATTATACAAGAAGGGTGGTCTGAAGAGTAGTCAGTGAATGCTCCATAAACAGTGCTGATAGTGATCTCAGCTGGGGAGAAAAACTCCAGAGGACTTGTCAGTGGCAAGCTGCAGCTCAGGGAATGGGTTGTGTTTGCATTTGAGGCAGTGCCGTGTGTTGTCTTCCCCATTCCAGAGTGCCAGGGCAGATCTGGCATTTGGGTGCTTGCTACAGTTCAGCTTTGACTGCAGGCCTGATGTCTGTGAAGGAAAAGGTTTTAAATCATTCCTGGGAGTCTGCTTTCCAGAGAGGAGCAAACACGAGTAAGCATCACTTTCCCTTCCATTTCCAAGCTGGAGAAAGTGGCTCTGGTGGAAGATGTTCCTCTGTCTGGTACAGCACAGGAGGCTGATCCAAGAACCATCCAAGACAAAGCAGTCTTCCCTTTCCAGAGGAGTTCAGGGATTTACTCAAATCCTCTGCCAGTGACAGACAGGGACCTCTCATGATAATTGTCACAGGCTGATTTTTTTCAAACAGATATTTGTCGTTTAACAATGCGTTTACAATCAGCTCTGGCCTTAATCTAATTTTAAGACTTCTTTTTTTGAAGTGATGCCATTAAAATGCTCATTTCATCGAGCAGAATGTGATGCTGTTTAACTATGATATGTTTTTAATGTGGAGTTTTTGGCAATCACAAGGAAAGTAGTGTACTCTGGCTCTTGATCAGTACCATCTACTGGAAAACAGCGTGAAACTCATGGAAAAGTTTTGCAAGCTTTGCTAAGAATTGGTGCATCTCCTGTCATACGTGAATGGGAACTGACAGCCAAGGCCAGGCAATATGGTTTTGTTTCCCTATGAGGTCTGTCCTGGCTGCCTGCTCCTTGCTGGTGACCAGGAAGGGTCCCATGCCTGCACTGTCTGACTGCTCTCACTGACCTCTAAACACAAACATTGCCTTAGTCTCGCTGTCAGCCTTTAAATCACAAAACTAGCACAAACCCATGTGCGAACGGAGCTCAGGTTTATGTAATCAGAATCCTGGGAATGTATTATCATCAGTATCTCCGGCTCAAAAAAACTTTATGGAGCAAAGCACCAGATGAGAAATAGATCAGAACAGCAACAAAAGTCTCAAATGCAAGGATTTAGTAGGTCAGCAGTTGGTCTATTTACCACAGTCTTATTTAATCAGAGTACCTTTAGCTTTTTATGTCTCCTAATGTGGCCCAGGTTTCCATAACCAGGGCAGGCATAGCAGGAAATCAATATAGTAAATTAGATTACTTGGAGACTTCTCCCTTCAATTTGAATGTGTGTGGATGGGTTATTCAGAATCTGACAGTCTTGCTGGAAATGAAAGACACTGTCTACAATAGGGTAAATTGTTGCTAAGAAAGTAATTGACAGGTATGTCATAAAACCTGAAAATTCCCATTCCCTGGGGAATTTATATCTGATGGTACTGTCACTTACTTCCCAGTCAGCCCTTTAGAAATGGCCCAGAATGCCAGCTGGCTCCTGGGAGCTGTTGGGAAACCTGTTAGAAATGAACTGTAAGCAGAGGTGTCATCTCAGAGATACAGAATTGCAGAGAACTGGCGTAAGGTAGTGAGAGAAACTGATTTAACCTCCAGCTTCCATTCATCTCCCCCTGGATTTGTTCAGCATTGTATTTTCCATAGAGATTTTTATTTCTTTGGTGGTTTGGATTTTTATTTTATTTATTTATTTTTTTTTTTTTTTGGTCTGATGAAATAGGTAAAAGAATTTATCAATGCAGAGCTGCTGGCTCACCTGTATTCTTCGGAGGACCAGAACACTCTGATGGAGGAGTCGGCGGAGCAGGCGCAGCGGCGGGACGAGACCCTGCGCATGTACCAGGCCCTGAAGGAGGCTCTGGCCATCATCGGGGACATCAGCACCAGCACGGTCTCCACCCCTGCTCCCCCTCCTGTCGACGACTCGTGGCTTCAGCAGGCACGCAGGTGAGGAGCCTCAAATCTGCATCGCCACCAAATTCAGGACAGGCAGATGGAGTCTGCATCAGGAGCTCCCTCCCTGCCTGTCTTTTGGGGAAGGTGTTCTTCCAGGTCTTAATGACATCTGTGAGGAAACTGAAAACATTTTCCCATCTATGCCTGTTCTGGGGGATGTTTATGTGAGCACCAGACAGGATATTTGCCTTGCAAAAGATCATCCAGTGAAGTTACAGCTTTTCTGATGCTTCAAATAGCAGCTGCTTCTATCACCCCTTTTGCGTATCCACTTGGCCTCCCTTTGCAAGCTGTTAAAATAATTCAGCATCTCAGGCTCCGTGTCCTAGAAATTCCACTTATCAAAACATTATTAGGACTTGAATAATAAAATCCATTATATTTACCACTCTGCTTGTATGTTGTCAGTGGGAAACACGTGAGACTTAATCGTATGTGATCCTCTGACACTGACAGCGAAGGAAAATTCCAGTAAAAAACATCTGTCATAGGTTTCAACTTTTGTTTAAAGTAAAATAAAATGCATCAAAGAAAACCCAAAACCCAAACCCCCACCTTACTGAACTTTTCAAATCTCTGCTATTTCACCAGATCACCTCCTCCAAGTCCTTCAACTCCGAGGAGACCTACACTGAACAATCCCCCAACCAGACCCTTATCTGGCCGAGGACCCGCTCCTGCAATCCCCTCTCCAGGCCCTCAGTCGGGGGCTCCCCCAGTCCCGTTCCGCCCTGGAGCTCTGCCTCCGTTTCCCAGCGCTGACGCCCATGGAGGACCTCCCCAGGTTCCCTCTCGGCCCAGCCGGGCTCCTCCCAGCGTGCCAAGGTAAGAAGTTGGGAGCTGCTGGTGGTGGCGTGGTTCTCTCCCTCTGGCACGACACAGACTCTGAGCCGCGACGTGGGCGGGAAGGCGAGCGCTGTCGTAGAGAAAGTCTCGTGGCAAAGCAAAACTGGGCATTCCCTGCACGGTCAAAAGGGTTTGAGGGAAGGGATTTTTAAATTTTTTAAATTGTTTGAAAAGATAGGGAGATTTCTTTCATTTAAAAAAATTCTAGTCAGTCAGTTGGAAGACCCTGATTGGCTTACATGAAGAACTCCAGCTCTGGTTGAGAGAAGTCACCTTCCCCCACCAGGAGAGGGACAGGGGTAGAGCTCTCCACTTCTGCCCTTCTGAACCCTCACCAGAGGAAGCAAGGGCTCTCCTGGCAGAGAACAAGAGCAATTCTTGTAGAACCAGTGGAACAAACTGCTGGAGTGTGATTCTTGTCCCACAAGGCCAGTTATTTCCAGTCCCTAGTTGTCTGACAGAGTACATCATATGGTACCAAGCAATTAGTTAAGGAACAAGATTATCTTCAGTGTGTTATTTCCTTTCCTTGCCAGGGCTTTGCATTTAGCAGGACCTTTTAAAGTAGCTTTGCATATTGTATAATTTTCTATGGCATTAACTGCTTTTTTATATAAGTTATATGAATAGAATGTCCTTAATGTTTATTTTCACAATGATGTAATACACATAATCACTTATATATATACATATATATATAAAAACCTCTGATTCTGAGGGATTCATTAACTTTCTAAATTATGAGAGGCGTGGGCAGATAAGGCAATGTTGGAACAAAGAAGTTTCTCCATTTTTTGATAAATTAACTGTTACATTGAAAGTACTCACAGTTTGGGAAAAAAAAGGGCCAGCTAAATAGGAACAAAAATAAAATGTGCACATTTTCAATTTTAAAAATGGTAATTGAGAAGAAAAGCTTTGGAGGAGAATTTTCTTTTAAATAGGTGAGATCTGTCGTAGTTGTCAGTAACTTAAATTTGAGGCTCAGTGTTTCTAATATAATTACCCTTTATAATAGAAAGCATAAATAAATGAGGTATATCAAAGGAATGAAGTATTTTCATAAATTTGCTATGAAAAGGGCATTGTTGCATCAATGTAGAACTCTTTCACCTTAGTGGATATCCTGTAGCTTGCAGTAGGGACCGCTGGGGACAAACCTGGAATTGCCTTTCCAAACTTATTGCTGGAAGGGAAGAAGCCCAAGGATCATCCCCTCGCTGGGAGAAGCTGGAGCTGAGCCCAAGGGTGCCGGCCCTGCTGTTTCCTCTGTGCCATCAGAGGCCAGATGTGATGCAGGGATGAGGTGCAGTTTGCCAGCTGTGCTGCCAGAGAGAACCACGGCTCCCGACCCCTGCAAACCGGCGCGGCTCCTTCCCCCCGCCCGCCGTGCTCGTGCATGGACGCTGCTTTCCCCAGTGCCTTGCCAAGAGCATGTCTGATGATCATCTTTTTCATGCCAAAGTGATAGGTGGGATGGAGACCAGAAAGGAATTTTCTAGCACTCAAAAGACACATGGGTAAGCAGCCTGGGAACGACTCGGTTCGGGAGCGCCACTGGTGGCATGAAAAGCAGTGGCGGATAAAGGAGGTCAGTGATTTTAAAATACTGTAGCTGGATACTGAATTGAATGTGAGACTGCCTGACATTTTTGTGGAAAAAAATAATCTGCAATACACATCTTCTGGACTGGATCCTAGTTCTCTTTTTTAGAGCTATGAAAGCCTCAGACAGGAAAACAAAAAAATCTCAACTGCTAAAGAATGAAGGGAGGGTTTTCACCATGCTGCCAAAACTTCAGGTTTCTCCTGCTGACTAAACTTGGAGGGAGGAAATCTCAGGGAAGGGGCTGCAGGGGAAATCACCTGAGGGGGACAGTGTGGCCAGCTCCTGCGCCTATTAAATGTTTCTCTTGAGCCCTGGAATTTCAGCTACGCTTGGTCTGGTTTTAATAACAGCCTTTGCAGGATCATAGGAAATTGACTCAGAAAATGGGTCTGAGATATTAAAGGGGAAAAAAGGAGTTTTGAGGAAGAGTTCTTGTGGAAACTTGAGCTTTTTCTGTGACTTATTTTTGAACTGGGGCTCTGTGCTCTGATTGTTCCACCACCATTTTCTACAGTGATTCCTTGAAGTGTTGGGATCTTTCTTATCTAGGGAAATAGTTTAGCTTCCTGAGGAGAAAGTAGTCTTTTTAAAGTTTATCTCATTTTCCAAATGAGCTTTCTGTTGCAGCCCCTGTCCCTGTCACGTGGAGCTGAAAATCCTGACATGCTGAAGAAATACAAAGTTCCCATTTTCTCCTGTTCTGCCTTAAGATAAAAAATAATTTTCAGGGGTTAAGACTTGGATTGTGTCCTTGTCCAATGAACAGATTTAGCACACGTTTGGTGAGGAAAATTTGGCACCTTACTGTGAGATACAGCCCCTGACCTCAAAACCACCATTTTTTTCTTCTACTTTATTAGCATTTAATCAAAGGAATTGTACAGAAATGGTGAGCTCTCAGCATTTTCTCACTGTTCCTCCCTCAATGTACAGGGAAAGGAAAAGAGCTAGGAGAGCAGGAAATCATTTTCTTCCCTGCTTTGCTCTGATTCTAAAGCTGGTTTGGGTTATGTGCTCCGAATATTTCTGTAAGGAAACAGAAACTATTTGCATGATACATGCCTCTTTTAATTAATCCCACTTGAGGTGGGTGGATCTCTCCCAGCAAAGCCTGTGAGTAAAGGCCCCTGGCTTTAAGGGCTTGATGCCAAAGCATATATGATTTGTGAAATATTCCCCACTGCCAGAATCTGGATTATTACCCCTCTCTCTTAAAAGGCTTCAGTAGTATTTTGAAAGAAAATGCAGCTGTGTGCTTGCTTTGGTGAGACGGCTTTAGGCAGGCATTAGAAGCACTTCAGCTTACCCTGATGTGTGCTTGCCTGCCTGTGTGGAAAGGCTGATCTCGACCAATTTAAGTTCTACTGTGGATGCTTGATATTTAGCTTTTAAATGTCCCGAATGGGAATCGCAGCTTGGCACGAGGAAAACAATTGAATTGGCAATGTTTTTTCTGCTGGCAGCAGAGCCCCTGGCGTTTGTGGGGTGAGTGGAAGGGTTCTGCCCTTTTCTCCCTGCGTCCTGCTCTGAATCTTGTGGATTCACCAAGGCTTTCCCAGCACTGCCCCACAGATGGTTCCTCACTTTATCACTGAAACAAAAGTGACCCCCATGATGTGAAGCCCTGGAGCACTTGTGTCACCCTCAGGCAGGCTGGGGCTGTTCCCCAGGGTTGAGGCTGCTCTTTAACACCTGAGGCAAGACATTATTCTCTCTTGGGGAGAGAATTCATGTTGTGCTGCTCACATACTGTCCCTACAATTTACTCCCACCCACAGCCAGCCAGCAGGGAAGGGCTGGTGGCAGCTCTGCTGCTCCCCTTTGTAATGCCACCGAGGCCAATTCCATCACTGCTGTGTTGGTAGCTAATCTAGGTTGTAAGCCATCATTACATATTTCTGCCAGACTGGCACAAAAAGGTGCTTTTTTACCTGACAGTAATTAGAAATTTTCAGACCAAGTCAGGAGCAGTGCAGAAAGCATTACTGGCTGACTTCTCCCAGCCCACAGGCTCCCACTCAACTCTTTGATTGCCAAATATCAACCATTCATGAAGTTTTCTCTGATGGATTTTTATGGATTAGAGTTCTTTGAAAAGATTTCATGAAATGTCTAACCCTGTGCATTGAATGATAAGGGGATTCTGTGCAAAAATTGCACATGATCCTCTGAATAAAATCTGTCATAGTGCATAGGCATATAAGGCTAGAAGGGTTATCCTGCCTGAGCCTGGGAATCTTCTTTCTCCTGAAAGTTTGACCTTGCAGCCTTAAAAGCTTACTACTGTATTTTTTAATGGAATATAAACTGCAATCAAATAGTCATTGCACCAAATTCTTCTAGCAGGATGAGTGAGAGCCCACCTTAGAGTGTTTGCATGCTGATTTGGATGATCTTAATCTGAACACCCAAGTAGGAGAGCACAGCTCTCTGTCCTCTTTGAATGGATCTTTGGCAGAAGTTATATTCAAAAAGTAAAGTCTGCAATTAGGATTGTTTCATGCAGGCAAAGAGACATAAGTGTTACATGGACAGAATTCAAAATCCTGCTGAACCTCAGGAGAAAAGAAAGCCAAAGAATAATTTAATTTCATTCTTCATCTCATGTCTGTGAGCAAAAGAATATACAGCTACACAGGCAAAGCCAGAGCCCCTCCCAGGGGGGAATACTGCCCTTCTGTAGTCAGTATGTTTCCAACTCTGCCTGTCTGAGGACCCCAAAATCACAAGACTTACGAGAATATCAGTTATTATTTCTGTGATTTCTGCCCAGAGGGAAGACAGCCCCGTGTAATTTGTTACCAGTCTAAAGTACATTTCTTGTTGAAATGCACACCCAGTAATATGTTACTTCTGCTGCTGGCTGCTTCAAGCAGCAGCAGACTCCATTTATTTTCTCTTATCTCTTAGAAAGAAGCTCTGCATTTTCCCCTCCTCCACTGGGTCCTTTTTCACTATTTCCCCTTTTTTCTCAGCCTTTCCCTCTCTGTCCCTTTCTTGACCATCCTGTTTGCTTCCTCTTTCACCTCCTCCTTTCACTTGGTTTCCTGCCTGGTTCATTTGTCTCCCTTCCCCACGTATTCCTTCCTTTCCTTCTCACCATCTTGTCTTGGTTTCTTTCCAACTCATCCCTTCCCTGCCACCTTTGTAAATCTATCACCTTGGCATTTCTGTCTTTTAGAGTTTTTCAGACAGTTTTTAAACCACAGGATGCAATATTTGGCAATCTTTCTTGGCAGCCTGGTGGCAGTGGCTGTGACAACCATCAGGAACATGAGCTCCACTGCTTGGGGCAGTCACATTGCCAGGTGCAAACCTGGGCTCATCTTGCAACTTTGGTCGTGGAATAGAATCAAGAATAGAATCACAG